ATAGAAGAAATTCATGCGACATCTCTGGTACGCACAAGAGAGAAGAAAATATATTCCATTCTATAGAAGAAATTCATGCGACATCTCTGGTACGCACAAGAGAGAAGAAAATATTTTCCGTTCCATAGAAGAAATTCATGCAACATCTCTGGTACGCACAAGAGAGAAGAAAATCTTTTCCGTTCCATAGAAGAAATTCATGCGACATCTCTGGTACGCACAAGAGAGAAGAAAATATATTCCATTCTATAGAAGAAATTCAAAACAGTTTTTGTTCTTCTCGACAGTTCAATTCAAAAACATATTTCAAGATTCCGTTGAATCTACTTTAGTTCAACCTGCTGCACTATAATACCTGATAAGCTGGTAGAAGATATTTATCACTACAGGCAACTATTTCCTTCATAACATCGACAGGATCAGCTTTTATAGAGTCATCAAAACATTTAGTGCAGGCGTCCTGTCTAAATACAAGAGAATAATTTCATATCGTTGATTAACAATTGACTAACCACGACATGATTTTTTTAGTTGTTAAAAATTACACAAAGTAAGAATTCGATAAATTATCGAAAATTATCGAACTCTCTGATAAAATACTTATCGACAATTATCATATCTGTCTGAGAGAAATAGTCAATGACAATTGTGTTTTAGAACTACTATAAAAATACATTAAGTTAAAAAATCAAGATTTTGTTAATAAAAAGTATTATTTATCACTTTGATTCTTAAAATTCTGTTTGATAGTTTAGAATTCATGGTTTTTATGCGAACAATGAAACTCAACTCCCCGACAAACTTTAATTCTCTATTCCTTATATTTTCTAAGCAAAGTTTCAACTATCCAATATATCTTACTTATCTGTCTAAATCTATTTTATTTACCTGTGTAAATCTATTTTATTTACCTGTGTAAATCTATTTTATTTACCTGTCTAAATCTATATTATTTACCTGTCTAAATCTATTTTATTCACCTGTCTAAATCTATATTATTTACCTGTCCAAATCTATTTTATTTACCTGTCTAAATCTATTTTATTTACCTGTCCAAATCTATTTTATTTACCTGTCTAAATCTATTTTATTTACCTGTCTAAATCTATTTTATTTACCTTCTATTTTATTTACCTGTCTAAATCTATTTTATTTACCTGTCTAAATCTATTTTATTTTCTAAATCTATATTATTTACCTGTCTGAATCTATTCTATTTACCTGTCTAAATCTATTTTATTTACCTGTCTAAATCTATATTATTTACCTGTCTAAATCCATATTATTTACCTGTCTAAATCATCAATGTTTGCCACCTCACAATGCGCTTTCGGCATTAGTGTTCCCATCACATACTGCTTTAATAGTTTCCCTTCACCAGATTCCTGGAGTTTAACAAAACAAATAAAAAAGGTCAACAGTTATTTAAGAAAATTAATACTTGCTTTAAACTATAATCTTCTATCTCATCCAATTATCTTTGCAACCTTATGATAGAAACATTTAGCATTTTAAACTTTAAGCATTTCATGAACTAGAAATCTATGATATTTGTTTGAACAAAATTCTAAGTTTTAGATATCAAAGGTTGCAAAGATTAGGAATTAGAAAGTTTGAGTTTGTGCCAAAAACTTTTTACCTTTCCAGGCTTAATTTTTTTCCCTGTCCTGTCTGATCCTAAAATAAAAAAATCAAGTTCTATGTAAATATGAATCGACCTGTTTTTGTCTTTATTTATTAATTTAGTCGTTTATCTGTAGACCTGAAGATCTGGTGTATTGTTGAAACATGGTGACATTTTTAGAGAACTCAAGCATACACACAGATCCATCTTAAACAGGAAATTAGTTATTTTTTATAAATTGAAGGAATTCCAATTATAGGGGGCATGCCCGATACACAACCTTTAAACATTTTTCTCATCAAAAATGTGAATGATATCGTCATTTTTTTAGCTTCAAAAGCGTTTGTTCTTGCATTTTCCTCCATTTTTTAGTATAAATTCGCAAGTCACTGTTATAGAGAAACCACAATTGAAGCTAAACAATTTTCAAAGAAAGAAGTATGGATATCTTGGTTATTCTTAACTAGACTTTTAAGCTTTTAAGCTAGGCATATGGTTGTATTGCGGAAAATAATTAAAAATTAATGAGCATCATGCCAGGTTCCTCAAAAAAAAGTGGACCAAAACGGTTTAGTAGTTTCAATGTTAATTGGATTTAAACCAAGAAACCAAGAAACCTAGAAACTAAGAAACTAAGAAACTAAGAAACCTAGAAACCAGGAAACTAAGAAACCAAAAAATAAAGGAACCAAAAAATAAAGAAACCAAAAAATAAAGAAACCAAAAAATAAAGAAACCAAGAAACTAAGAAACCAAGAAACTAAGAAACCAAGAAACTGAGAAACCTAGAAACCAAGAAACCAATAAAAATCTATGAGCTGAAAACTTTAGAATAGTGGATATAGAGATTAATGCGTGATCCTCTCTTTTTCTTAATATCGAGACTAACCTAATCTTGTACTTGTAGCCTGAAAAGTGTATAAAATTCAACCAATCAGAGTCGCGTATATGAAGCCGATAAATTTAAAATTTTGTGCGCTATTAAGGATTATATACAGAAACAGGAGGAACTCTCTAATTTTAAAAACCGGTTTTTGATTTTTCTCTACTTTATCCAAGAAAGAACGGTTTCAGAAGAAAATCAAAAGTGTGTCCATTGGATACTCAGATTAAGAAATCGGGATTAAGGATATCTCATTCTAAAGTTTTCAGCTCAGATTGCATAAGACTAAGTACCTGTAAGTGTATCAATAGGATCTTCAGATTCTTCAACTTTTTCCAGACAATAGTTGGCTCCTGCCTCATGTCGGAAATTCTAAACAAAATCGTTTTGGAAATTTCTTAACATAGTTAATGTTAAACCCAGCAGTTGCATAGTTATTCTAGGACAGGACCTACAGATAGTTTACCTTGAAGTATTCTAGGACAGGACCTACAGATGGTTTACCTTGAAGTATTCTAGGACTGGACCTACAGATGGTTTACCTTGAAGTATTCTAGGACTGGACCTACAGATGGTTTACTTTGAAGTATTCTAGGACAGGACCAACAGATGGTTTACCTTGAAGTATTCTAAGACAGGACCTACAGATGGTTTACCTTGAAGTATTCTAGGACTGGACCTACAGATGGTTTACCTTGAAGTATTCTAGGACAGGACCAACAGATGGTTTACCTTGAAGTATTCTAGGACAGGACCTACAGATGGTTTACCTTGAAGTATTCTAGGACAGGACCAACAGATGGTTTACCTTGAAATATTCTAGGACAGGATCAACAGATGGTTTACCTTGAAGCATTCTAGGACAGGACCAACAGATGGTTTACCTTGAAGTATTCTAGGACAGGACCTACAGATAGTTTACCTAGAAGTATTCTAGGACAGGACCTACAGATGGTTTACCTTGAAATATTCTAGGACAGGATCAACAGATTGTTTACCTAGAAGTATTCTAGGACAGAACCTACAGATGGTGTACCTTGAAATATTCTAGGACAGAACCTACAGATGGTTTACCTTGAAGTATTCTAGGACCGGACCAACAGATGGTTTACCTTAAAGTATTCTAGGACAAGACCTACAGATGGTTTACCTTGAAGAATTCTAGGACAGAACCTACAGATGGTTTACCTTGAAGAATTCTAGGACAGGACCAACAGATGGTTTACCTTGAACCATTCTAGTACAGAACCTAAAGATGGTTTACCTTGAAGTATTCTAGGACAGGTTCTACAGATGGTTTATTTTAAACCAGGTTCCTTAAAGCATTCTAGGACAGGCCCTACAGATGGTTTACCTGAAAGCATTCTAGAACAGGTCCTACAGATGGTTTACCTTAAAGCATTCTAGGACAGGTCCTACAGCCTCTGGGTTATCTAGTTCGACACTGTTAACCTCATCAGCACATGCCTGAGTAATTTAACATTATTAATTTTACAAATTAATGTTTGGGTGTAAAATCATAATCGTAAAAAAATACTATTTCAAATATGTTTGCATTAATTAATCCATTCAAAAATTGTAACAATTGATCACCCCTTGGGAACTACCTCTCTACTTTCATTATTTTTGAGGAGAAATGTTATGATAAATCTTCATAATACTTGAATTATAATTATATATATATATGGGTGGTTTTAATATTTAATACAGTGGTAGGCGATTATATTGTAAACAAGCTTTTTAAAATATCACCATGGGTGAGACCCAAACACTGTGATTTAGTGAGACAAAATTATATTTTGTTATACAATAAAAAGTTTGCAGTAGATTGAAAATTAACTTATTAAGTAAAATTAGTCTGTGAATACTGCACAATTGCTGTGTTTCATGTTCATGTTCATGTTCATGTTCATGTTCACAACATGAACTTGAGTTGAGTGGTTTGTCTTCTTATTCTAAAGTTGTACAGGTCTCTCTCTCTTATTCTAAAGTTGTACAGGTCTCTCTCTCTCTCCATGATATATGTATTGTATAACCTGAAACTCCCAAGGAAGCTGGGACTCAACACAGGCCTTGGCTTTCTTCAAACCATCTTCGGTCATTGGGTCCCCAACCTAATACACAGCCAAATAAAGGGACTATTAGCTTTCTTCAAACCATCTTCTGTCATAGGAGCTACACCTAATACACAGCCAAATAAAAGGATTGTTAGCTTTCTTCAAACAATCTTCTGTCATAGGAGCTACACCTAATACACAGCCAAATAAAGGGATTATTAGCTTTCTTCAAAACCATCATTAAAAGCTTGATAAAAAGTTGTAGGCATTTACTTTTCTTAACAATTTAATTTTCTGATTTTTCTTAGAAATGAAATAGGAAGACACAAACCTTTCTCCAACAGTCCAGACAAGCATTGATATTCTCCATATTTGTTTTTAGATCCAGCTCATCCTTCCAGTGCTCAACCAAGCAACTTCCTGCAACCCAACTCACATCCACATCTAATATATTTATTTTTAGTTTATTTATATAATAAAACTACCATTACAAATATATTTAGTTCTTTTGGACAAAAAAAAGAACTTTTAGTAGCAAAATCTCCTGTATATATTAGAAGTAGGAGGGGTACCAGGGGTTGCTTACACAGGATGCTCTGATTTTAAAGGAGGCGTGGAGAGGTGGGGGGGGGGGAGGACTTGTTTAATATCATAGTGAAGCGATGTATTGTCATTTTTAATCTTTTGACCACAGAATAAACAGATAGGGTACAAGGGTTGGGTTAGTTAAGTTATTTTATTTCATAATCGCATCTTACTTACTCCTGCTTCCTAATTACTCCTGTTTCCTACCTCCTAGGCTAGGATAACCTCCCCCTGTTTCTTTGTTCTGAATGTTTCCCACCACTTCCAGTTTCCTACCACCTCCTACTTCCTATATATATACTTCCTATATATACATACTTTTCTCCCTTTAGGTTCAGATTTTTCTTTGTTTCTTACTTCCCCCAGTTTCCTATTTACTTCTGTTTCCTGCATTTCCTCTTTCCGAGTTCCTTCGTGTTCTTTATCTTCCTCTTCTCTTGTTTTCTACGTTCTCCTGTTTTCTACCTTCTTCTGTATCCTACCTTCTCCTGTTTCCAACCTTCTCTGTATCCTACCTTCTCTTGTTTTCTATCTTCTACTGTTTCCTACCTTCTCCGGTTTCCTACCTTCTCCTGTTTCCAACCTTCTTCTGTTTCCCACTTAATTTTCTGTATCCTACCTTTTCCTGTTTCCTAACTTCTCCTCTTACCTATCTTCTTCTGTTTCCTATCTTCTCCTGTTTTGATATCTCCTCCTGTTTTCTTTCTTCTCCAGTTTCCTACCTTCTCCTGTTTCTTACTCTATATGTTTCCTGCCTTCTCCCGTTTACAACCTCCTCCTGTTTACTACTCCTCCTGTTTGCTACCTTATCCTGTTTCCTACTTATTTTGTTTTCTTACCTCCTCGTATTTCTTAAATTCTCCTGTTTTCTACCTCCTTTTGTTTCCTAACGGTTCATATTTCCTACCTCCTCCTGTTTTCTACCTCCTTCTTTGTATTTATCTTCTCCTTATGTTTCCTATAACCTAACTAAATACTTCACCTTCCACATTCAGTTGTTCCCCTGGTCTGGCGGATGCGATTGCAATCAAGCAGAAGAAAATTATCGTCTTCATCTGAGCAAATATACAGATAAATTATTTTAAATTCTGGAAATTAAGACTTTCCTTTCATTTGCATTTGAGTTTTGGCAGTATTTTTTAGAATAAAAAAATTATCACTAGAATAAAATGATTCTTTTGGCGTACTGTTTCTTTTGAGTCTAAAGTCCGTACAAGAAAATGTTTTCAATGTAGTGAGCCTTCACATCCGGAAAAATATTAATTTTGAGGTAAATTTTACGCATTTTCTCTTTAATTCTTACTTTTTAATCTTAAGGTCAAAGGTCTTTCTTTGGTAAATTTTTACATGAAATATTTAAACTTGAGTGATTTTGTTCCAATACAACAAAGAAAAAATTCAAATTAAGTTTTGTCGCATTATAGTAAAGGTGTGGTATACAAGGGAGTTTATAGTGTTCAGTTCATGTAAATATTTACAACACCAAGTTATACAACGTGCATCATAAAAATCTAGCTAGTCTAGCTAGCACAAAAATATTGCCAATAGAGAATACGTAATGAATTTTACATCACTATAGCACTGTCTGACAACATATTCCATAATGGTGATAAATAAGAATTTGTGTTTTTTCTTTCTTCTTTTTATATACTTATTGATTCCTCTACACTAAAAGACGGGTTCGAATTGTGTCACCTTTGGCTTCAGTGACGTCATGCATAATTTGAAATTTCATTACAATCGCGTTGCCTCATAAAGTGCTTTTGCGCTAGCATGGAGTACGGTACGCACTAAGCAGTGCAATTTAAAAAAATGGCGATATTACGATTTTTGGAGTTAATTCCTCTCTCTATGAGATCTATATATTTACTCTGAGATTATTGTAAACAATTGTTGCCCCGCTACTAAAACTGATTTAACTGCTGAATTTCTAAATATAAAACTGTTTTCGATAAAGCTTCAGCTCAACTGCATTTACTCAAGCAAAAACATCCATTTATACTATAGCTGAATCAGAGAGTAGAACCTTGTTTTGAAGCTTACAAAAAGAAAACATTGTTGATGCATTTACCAAATGAAAATTAAATATTTTTAGAATAATTTGCTCCGTCAATTTTACAATCAAAACACGAAGCATCACATTTATTTGAATATAAATAGAAATTTAAATTCTGGCACCCTAAAAATATCCTTTAGAAATTAACATCCTTGAGAACAACTGCGTAAAACTGTAAAAAACAGGACTTGTTTATTCTTCAATCTTGATCAAACGCCAGTAAAAGTTAGACCAGTCACCAAAATTATACTGAAAGGCTGACTTGGTCAAAATAAATAATTATAAACAATCTAAATTATTCCAACATAAGGTAATTTAGCGGAATCACTAGTACAGCTTAATCAACATGTATAGATTTTAAACCCAAGTTTATTTGATAAAATGTATAAAATATGCATATTTGCATTTAATAATTTTAACACTTTTTCTGCTCGAAAGTTAAGGGAGTTTGAAATCATGCAGGAAACGTTTTAATCTGAAATGAAATAAACTATAGTTTAAAGTTATATAAGTTGACAAATACCCTGTTTGAGTTGAGATGAAAGCCTCTAATATTTGATATTTTGTAAACCCAACCTTATATACCAGAGAAATGTGTCACAAAACAATTTTTAAAATACAATTACGAAGTCATAAAATCATAAACCATGAAACGAATTCAAAACAAAAATTCTCAGAATCATTTACTACAATTACCTCTCCCCCCATTTTCGGCTATTCACTAGTGTGTGCCGGGGGGGGGGGGGGTAAATTTCTTTTCTAAAAAATACTTTGAAATATAAGAAACAAAACTAATTAAATTCATTGTGTTTAACATGAAAATAAGTTTAATGTAACAGGAAACACCCTGTAGTTGGAAATATTAATGAATCAGCTTTTGGTTATTTTCTCGCTCTGTAACTTTTTAAAATATCACTATGGGTGGTTTTAATATTTAATACAGTGGTAGGCGATTATATTGTAAACAAGCTTTTTAACATATCACCAGGGGTGGTTTTAATATTTAATACAGTGGTAGGCGATTATATTGTAAACAAACTTTTTAAATTATCACCATGGGTGGTTTTAATATTTAATACAGTGGTAGGCGATTATATTGTAAACAAACTTTTTAAAATATCACTATGGGTGGTTTTAATATTTAATACAGTGGTAGGCGATTATATTGTAAACAAGCTTTTTAAAATATCACCATGGGTGGTTTTAATATTTAATACAGTGGTAGGCGATTATATTGTAAACAAGCTTTTTAAAATATCACTATGGGTGGTTTTAATATTTAATACAGTGGTAGGCGATTATATTGTAAACAAACTTTTTAAAATAACACCATGGGTGGTTTTAATATTTAATACAGTGGTAGGCGATTATATTGTAAACAAGCTTTCTTTGAATAACAAGTTTACTGGAAATTAAAGAGAATTTTTTCTACTTCTCCTTGTTTCCTTGTTTTTGTGTATCCAATTCCATGCTGTTTAAAACCTTGTTTTAAATCAAAAGTGAAATCGAAAGTCGTCTTTATTATAGTGATTAAATCGCCTACCACCGTATGTTTTCAAAAAAATTGAATTTTTTATTACATACATATACATAATATATACACAATATATGAATTTATGAAAAATTAACCTTTTTCAATAAAAATCTTTTCACAGGGTGTCCCAAACAAATACAATCTGTAAAAAGATACGAGCAACTGAAATATGAATGTTTTGTAATATAACAAAATTCGCGAATATTGCAGAAAGTAGATTTTTCTACTACATGCCATTTCTCAAAATGGTATTTTCACAAGCAGCTCGGATTTGGATTATTTAAAAGTATTCACAAGCTATAAGGAAGAGATTATATAGTCTACCAGCATATTAGAAACAGGAAGACTGTCCCACACAAAAGATCTTTAAAAAGAATGATTGCAACATTGCAGACCAAGGCCGGGTTAGATGAAAGATGGAAGGGAAAAGAACTCTGTTCGATGTAAGATTGAAGGGACAAGAACTCTGTTCGATGAAAGATGGAAGGGGCACGAACTCTGTTCGATGAAATATGGAAGGGACAAGAACTCTGTTCAATGAAAGATGGAAGGGACAAGAACTATGGAAGGGACAAAAACTCTGTTCGATGAAAGATGGAAGGGAAAAGAACTCTGCTCGATGGAAGATACAAGAACTCTGCTCGATGGAAGATGGAAGATACAAGAACTCTGTGCATGGAATTAAAGAAAAAGAAGTAATTCCAGTTATAAAATAAAACATGTTTACTATAGAATAAGAAATATATAAAATAATGTAACAAACATTATAATTCTGACCTAGAAATTGTCAATGGGACACACTGTATCTATTTTTTCAGGAAACTGAATGATTTGTTTGTTTCTGAAATTTATTTTAGCAAAATCATTCTTCCTCTGTTATATTTCTATCTATTCATTTATTATAATAATGCCTGAACAGTGCACACCGTGTACATTCATAAAATTCATTTTTTTATATTTGATGATTTAAAAACGTGTGCTTTGTTATAATCAGGCTATTCTGAAATAGGATAAATAGAAAGACAATTATAATCGCTTCTTAAAAAAAGATTCAAAATCCTAAAGTTAATAAGGAATTACCATTCATTTTCCAAAAAGTATATATCAAAGAAAATGATCAATAAACTCTTTTAAAAAAATAATCAAGATCTTAAATTATATAATATATATAGTTTTCCAATTGTCCATTTAAATAATTTTGCAAAAAATATTTAATTCTTATTCATAGTGTTATTTTTTATACCAAAACATATATTTTACCTTTCAAGGAACATAAAGTTAAATAATTATTCTTCAATTTTACAGTTTCTTTTATTAACAACAAGTGTATGATTTATCTGTATGGTATTTATCTGTCTATTTATCTATCTATCTAGGGACTAAAAAATCAAATCTTTTGAAGTGACAACCTTAAATATTTAACAGCTAGTTTGAACTTTCCTGGGTTGGACTTGGAATCTTTCTTAGATGAGTGNGGGGGGGGGATATCCCAACGTCTATCTGATTCTATTATGACAGTATATTTTCATAGTTTAAAGATCTCAAATAACTAAACATTCGCCACTAACTCTAAATTTCGAGTTCTTATATCTTTGGAATCTGATGTCGCAGAACTTTGAGATTTCAAAAAGTAAAGAAAGTAAAAGTCTGAAATATAACATTCTCATGGTTAAAAAATATACAGATTAGAATAGAGTTTGAGGCAAGTTTTTTGCTTCTTTGCGATATTAGAATATTTTACTTGTTGATATCATAAATAACCCTGAATTAAAAACTTTATATTTTTTTTGTAAAAAATGCACTTTTAAGAATAAACTATTCTTTTTGAAAAAAAAACTTTTTGAATATGTATTTTTGAATGTATTTAAAACTGCATTAATAAAATGAACACGGATTTATGTTTAAAAGATTTGTTTATTAATGTTTATTAAACAATAAACGAAACACATAAAATATAGGGTGTATAAATATGTAAGTATAAATGCATCGTAAAAGGATGATACAAATATTTTGACTTCACAGAAATCAATGCTAAGTTTCCAAAACTTTAACACTTAAGTTTAGAGCAAAGGAAACACAAAAGTTTAAAATATAAATGAACGAATAAAATCTATGGTTTCCAATGGTTGTTCAGGTCCCATTAGGTGGTGAGACCACCCACCCCCCTTGAAAAAAAATGTGAGCCCCTCCTGGACAAGGTACTATAATGCAAGGAAATTTAATTGCGGTTGTGTACACTCTGCGTAAATATTGAAACCAGTTCTCTCTGGGCGGAATTTGTAAACAAGAATAGGTGCATCAGTGTTCTTCTAGTATCCGAGGAGGAACAAAGCATTTAATTTTGATAATTTGATAATTCACTTAATAGTTTCCTTTCACCAGAATATTTCATAGATTATTTTTGTGAAAATGGATTCCATGTCAGGCTGTGACATCCTTCTTGTGTTTACTTTTCCGCCCAAAGACAGTACACTGCAGTACAAAGTATGCGTTCACTTGCGAAATAACTTTCCTTGCATTAGTACCTGCTCCTGGACAAATTTGATCCTGTGCACACAGATTTAACGGTTTGTTACTCGTCTTGTAACTTTCAATCACATTTTGACCAATTCTACATAAATTTTTCATTTTTTCTCTTTTAATTTTTAGCCGGGGGATGCAAAAGTATTAAAAAAACAACAAAATTAAAATATTGTAAATTATTCATCACAAGATTAAATTGAAGAATCCAAATGAATCTAAAAGCCTTGCTGGTCCAAGGTGAAAGCCAAGAACTTTTGAATTAAAAAAAACAAGCTTTGGTTGTTCTTTAACGTTTAACAGCTGTTGATCTGCTCTTCAGAAAGTTTAAAGAGAGTAATTGGCAAAGATCGGGGTTGTTAAGCGTGAGAGCAGCATATGTTTTGTAGAACAATTATTTCAGAAAGTTATTTTGGACCAAAGAAATTTTTGAAACTTCTTAAAATTCAATTTAGAATAGAGAAAAAGTAATTAAGTTTAGTTCTGTCAAAAGTGTAATGCTCATTCATTAGTTCATTTATCTTTGTTTAGATAAATCCGGTTCATAAACCGGTATTCCTGTAGCCGGTGGTAGCGGGGCTCTACCGAGCAATATATCAGCTGCTTTCTCTGCGAGCATGATGGTTGGAGCGTTCAGGTTACCTAAGTAAAAATAGTAAAAATAAACTTATATCTATGTTTGTTATTGCTTGTAACCGATAAACGTAAAAACGGAGATGGAATTTAAAGAATTTGAGCCGCGGTTTAAACCCGCCAAACCCGGTTTAAATTAAGCGCCGGTTTAAATCTTGAAACATTTGATACAATTTTAAGTGGAACCAACCATATTTAAACCGCGGCTTAAATTTAAACCGCCGTTCAAATTCTTTAAATTCGGCCACCGGTCTTTTTTTTAATTTGCCTCAGGAAAATTAAATCAATGTCCAAGAAGAAAGCTCTAGTTTAAACATTTTCCCGAGAATCATTATTGATTTCCAGTAGTCATGAATACTCCATGATTTCGGTAAGTTAGATGTTCAAACGATATGGATAAAAGTTAAGGTTTAATTTAAAAATCACGAGTGGCAAGAAAGCTTTAACTTTTTGGTACTTTTTGGTTTTTGACTGAAGATCATCAATATGTCAAAATAATATTTAATGTATTAAAATAAAGTAAAGGCTGTTTGACCTGATACGACACTAGGCATGATACTTGAATCAATAACTCTGATGTTATCAAGGCCTATGACTCTAGTCTGTGAGTCCACTACAGCCATGTTGTCTGAAGTATCCCCCATCTTACAGGTGCAAGAAGGGTGGTAGGCACTGTCACATTTATCCCTAATTTTATTCAGTTATAAACACGTTTTTTATAATTTATTCAGTTATAAACACGTTTTTTATAATTTATTTAGTTATAAACACGTTTTTTATAATTTATTCAGTTATAAACACGTTTTTTATAATTTATTCAGTTATAAACACGTTTTTTATAATTTATATAGTTATAAACACGTTTTTTATAATTTATTCAGTTATAAACACGTTTTTTATAATTTATTTAGTTGTAAACAAGTTTTTTATAATTTATTCAGTTATAAACACGTTTTTTTTATAATTTATTCAGTTATAAACAGGTTTTTTATAATTTATTCAGTTATAAACACGTTTTTTATAATTTATTCAGTTATAAACACGTTTTTTATAATTTATTCAGTTATATACACGATTTTATAATTTTCATTTTTAAAATGGATCAAAGTTTTTTTAACTTTATGAATTTTTATTAGCTTAAATATAGACACAAAAATGAAAAAACTGCATAGTATCATTTTTATTTCTATTATTTTTCTTTGTTTATTACTGAATCTTTTTTGGACAAACTGAGTTTTAGATGTATCCCTTCAATTGCTCACTCGAATGCATCGTAGTAAAATGCGAATAATATTTGGTTTTATTTACCTCACAAAATATTCTTTTTACCTAACAAAGTGTTTTATTTACCTAAAAAAATTGTTCTACACCTAAAAAATATCCTATTTAGGAAAGTTTGCTAATTGCCTTAAAAATTGATATTTTTACCTTTACAATGTTTAATTTACAGAACAAACTGTTCTATTTCCCTATATTGTGTTCTATTGACCTAACACAGAATTCGTAGTGTTCTGTTTACCTGACAAAGTGTTATTTACCTACCCAAGAATTCTATTTAATTACCAAAGTTTTCTATTTATAATAAAGTTTTTTATTGAAAGTGTTTAATTTACATAATAAACTGGTCTTATTCCCTAAAAAGTGTTCATTTACCTAGCAAAGTGTTCATTTACCTAACATATTGTTTATTTACCTAACAAAAGCATCAATTTGTTTATCACTCTTTACATCAGAACCAGGAGCAAGCTCAGGACCCCTGAGATTAAAGGTTTGAGGGGTTAAATAAATTACAAAATTTTTAATTGGTTTTCCTCAAATTTTCGAATCCTTATTTTTTTAACCTGATGGTTCAAACCTATTATATTTCAAAATTAATTATTTGATCTAACAAAAGTCTAAAGTTTGAAATATCGAAACTTTCGACATTGGGTTGAAAAGATATAGGATCAGAAAATCAGAGTTTGTGGCTAGGACTCAATTCCTTTACAAGATTGTTAACGCTATTTTATGATTATAAAATAGGCATGCTAAAAATATTAAAAATATTTGATTAATCGAATCATCATGATTGTTTTCTTATTTATCTTTATTAGAGACTAGTTTGGGAATCCAGCGTTGCCCAGGGTACTCATAATTACTCCCGCCGTTTACACGCATATGGTCCTGAACGGCGGGAGTTATTATATGAGTACCCTGGGCAACGCTGGATTATAGAATTGAACCTGTATTGATCAAAGGCTGGTTCAGCAAATATTTCTCTCATAAGATGAACACACTGTCTCATCTCCCACCTGTCCTGTTCAGTCTAGGAATACCAATATTTATTTATTAAGTCAAATGAATTCCATAGTTTGTTTTCCCTTTTAGTTAAGAAATGTCACCTCTAGTATTTTGTAAGTTAACTTTTGCAACTGACATAACACAAAATATGTTCATTGTTCATGGCGCTTTATAAAAATTTATAATTAAAGGAAAAAAGACGACAACAATTCCCCTGTTTTCTGGTTCTCACTGAATACCCAGTATGGGAAGAGACGGAATTTGTAAATTTTTACCTGAAGATAATTAGGTTGTATAAGAGGATGAGCTCTAAAAATAAAAAAGTTAAATAAAGTTTTATAAATAATTTCTTATTTATCTTTATATATTTACTTTGCTTGTCTGTCTGTTTATTTATTTGTTTGTATCCAATAAACGGCTGAACCGATCGTGTGGGACCTCACGTGACCCCAGGGAAGGTTTAGGAATGATCAAAATTTCAAAAATGTGTGTTTTAACGATTTTATTATTGTAAAATTTTGAAAATATGCTGTACATTGTAAACTTTGCTTGTCTGTTGAAACGGCTGAACCGATCGGTCCCAAGTTTTGCGTTGGACCTTACATGTCCACAGAGAAGGTTTATGGACGATCGAAATTTTATAGATTTGCCTCCAACAAAATTAGATTTTCTAATCTCTATATCTTTGTAATCCAATGTTGTAGACTTTAGATATTTCAAACTATGATTTCTGTTAGATGAAAAAATCTAAGTTTGAAATATCAAAGGTTTACACCATCAGGAGGAAAAAATATAAGTCTTAGCAAATCAGAGTTTGGTACAAAGACTCAATTCCTTTGTTTATAAAATCCTTGAACTCTTTTATTTTTGTTTTACAATGTATGGAGAAAACATGTTCACAATTGAAATAGAAGATGGATGCAAGCCGACCTAAAAGCCTAGTATATGTATATATATAGATAGATGTACATCCTATCCATATATATGCCATCCATATTTATATGGAAACAAGGTACCTTGGATCATTTGAAGCAAGTTTTAACCATCCTCGAGATGTTGCTCTCATTGGACCTACATGGACCTGTAAAAAAATATGTAGGCTAAAAGAATAAACCGTAATTTTAAGAGCGAAATTACCGTTTTCTAACAAAAATTAATAAAAAAATAGTTTTAAGATTGATTACTGTTAATGATCCTGTAAGAATGACCTGAAATGCTTCTAGGTATGGAGGTTTCCTGCCGTGGTCTATAACTTGAGAAGGTAGGAAATGAATCTGTATATCCGGGTGGGGTACTCCCGCTCGACTACGGATAAATCCACCAGATTCAAGATGAGCAGTAGCAGCTGATCCTAAAAATGGAGATGAGAAAGATATTGGCGATCTATTTTTTTATTCAATCATGGTTTCAATCAATAATGATTTAATTTGATAATGTTGCCAAATTCTTATTTAAGTACACTTATGATAATTATTTAACAACTACTTTACAGGGAAGTTCAGAGAATTTCATTTTACCAAGGGTTCCCGAGACCAATTTGCCAACCAAACATCCAAAGCGTAGCGAGGGATGTTTTGTAGGCAAAATTTGCCGAGGTAGTGGTGGTTATATTTACAGAATTTTATGTCGAAATTAAAATAAAACAAAATAATAAAAATAAAATATTTAGAGACGTTCGAACTTTCGTCTTGAGTAAATCTTAATTGTTATATATATTATTACAAATAACGAATCTACTTCACAAAAAAACTCTCAATTTTTGCAACAACATTACAAATAATTAACTAAGCGTATTTGAAAAATTTTAGATGAGATTTATCAATACTTCTTTCATATAATCACCTGTTTGATTAAAAAACCACTGTAAACCAACTTTTATCATTTTTAACCCTTTCTGATCCGAGTACAGGGTTACAGGTTTACTACAGCACTGGGCTACATACATCTCTATATAAGAAACATATTCAAAAAATATATTTAAATATAGTTGCTATCCAAGAGCCATTTGAAAAATGATTTTACCAACGATTGAAACTGTACGCTAATCCTTTACTAATTGTAAAGGACATGTACTTCACTTCCAAAGGTCAATCTGTATTATTACAGTACTCGGGGTCGATTTATGAAAATACTTAAAGGAGAACTTATTTTTCATGTAACTATTAAAATCAACTACTCCTTTATCGTGTTAAGGATTACATTTTCACAGAAAGACGTACATTTACAGTCTTTTACAGAGCAGTATGTCATCGTTAATAAACTGTTCTGAGGAAAACTGAGTAAAATTCAAGATACAAAACCTCCTCATAATCTCATAATATCCTTAATCAGTAAACTATCCCAAGTGTACACTTAGGCTAATATACACGGAGAGGCAAGGTTCTAATGCAAGGAAAGTTATTTCAGAGGTGTACGCATCTTTTGTACTGCAGTGTACTGTCTCTGGGCGGTAATGTAAACATAAGACAGATGTGGGATCCCATAAGCCTGATATGGGATCCATCTTTCACAAAAAAAAATCAATGAAATATTCTGGTCATAGGAAATTATTATGTGAATTATCAAAATCATCAAAATTTAATGCTTTTAACCTCCTCGGATACTAACCGAACACTGATGCATCTATTCTTGTTTACAATTTCGCCCAGAGAGAACTGGTTTCAATATGTACGCAGAGTATACGCAACTGCAAGTAACTTTCCTTGCATTACAACCTTGCGGAGAGGTAGCTAAGATCCAGCCCCCCTGGGTTTTGCTTAAATTGTGTAATATGCGAAAATATTCTAGGCCTATATCTCACGTTTAGAAATTAATGATGAAGTTTCAAATCTTGAAAATATTAGCTTTCAAGAAATTCTTTTAGATCAAATAACTTTTTAAAAAGAATTGGCTCAAAAAATGTTGTAATATGATGAATAAATTTCCTAAATGGTCTTGAAGATTATATCCAACTCCAGGTAGATCATGAACTACATCTACTCCAACCTAATCAATATCGTCTATCGTCCTAGGTAAAGGAGGTTTCTTAACTAACATTTTACTAAGATCGGAAGGATTTACAGAACAATCATTTGCAATACAAAATAAATTTCTGCCAAGAACTGTGTTGAGGTCATTATGAAATTCTCACTTGGACACTATTAAGAAAGTAAATATAAGCAAATGACAGGATATGTTTAAAAACTAGATATGTTTAAAGGAACTGTGGGCGTAATTTCAAGTTAAAGAGGAACATGTCCAATTTAGAACGGTACCCTTAACATCTTTATCTGGTCTATAATTTTGAAGAGAAACCATAATTAATACAATTAGTTTTTAACATTTTAAACAAGGGTTTATAATTCATACGCTCATAGTTCCTTTAATCAAATTACCTTTTTTAGATCTTCTGAATTGCCTACACCACTAAGCATAAGCAATTGAGGAGAATTGATAGCTCCACCACTCAATATTATCTCACCTCCTCTTATTCTCTATAATTCATCATTAAAGGGAGTGTTCACAATTCTCGTTTGAGGCGATCAATCTTAAACCACCTTTTAAAATTTGTGCACACTCCCTTTAGAATTGAAAAAAATTAGTTTATTACCACGGTTGTCGTCTTCTTCCTCTTTTTTGAATATCAAATTTTAATTATGAGATTTTTGTAATTTGTAAATTTGTAACAGATTTACATTTTTCCCTAACTTGAACATTTTTAATACTATTTTAGATTTACAAATACAAATTAGAAAATTCGTAATTTCATCGCGGATTTAAAACATAAGAAGACGACAGCAGTCCCATAGTTTTCTTGCTATCGCGGCATTTATATACCTTGGTTTTTCCTTTTTCAATAAGTTCTACTCCGACAGCTTTCTTGCCCTCAAATATAACTTTGGTGACGAGAACATTGGTCAGGGTTGATAGATTCTGTCTTTTCAAGGCAGGGTACAGATATGCTGCTGCAGCACTCCACCTGTACATTCAGCACTTAAATTCATACTCTCTTTGCAACCTGATGGTGTAAACCTTTGATATTTCAAACTTAGATTATATGATTTAATAGAGTTGATAGTATGAAATATCTATGGTCTACGACATTAAGTTGGAAACATATAGAGATTAGAAAACCAAAGTTTTGGCAAAAACTCAATTTCTTCACAAATAATTCGCTTTTATAGAATTCATGGTTCCATTCCATGCAGCTGTTAACTTATTTCTTTGTTTACTTAAATTCCTATAACCATAAAAAATTAAATTGAATGTTTAAGACGTAATAGTTAGAAAGTTTCATATCTCCATCAGAGTCTTATTCTTTGTTAGATACTGCGTACTTCCGAAATAACATTTTTCAAACTTAAATTTTTGTGTGTACAGTTTATGATGAAATATATTGGGTTTGGTTTTCCCATGTTGTGGGCCGAGCGCTGCGGAGGGAGTAGTTATGCAGTGCAGACAGTTGAGAATATTATTATTATTATAAAGAACTATTCACACACAAAGATATAAATACATATATAAATGGTGTAGTTAAAATTTGTTTAAATAAATTTTTTTGAAAATACAGGTTTCCAAAAGAAAAGAGAAAAAATATGCAAAATTATGCACAAATAGAAAACATTGATTTTTACTCACTACATAACATATTTATCATTTCAGTTATTACGTAATCATCGAATCCTTNTATGCTGCTGCAGCACTCCACCTGTACATTCAACACTTAAATTCATACTTTTCAAGGCAGGGTACAAATATGCTGCTGCAGCACTCCACCTGTACATTCAACACTTAAATTCATACTTTTCAAGGCTGGGTACAGATATGCTGCTGCAGCACTCCACCTGTACATTCAGCACTTAAATTCATACTTTTCAAGGCTAGGTACAACGCTACTGCAGCACTCCACCTGTACATTCAACACTTAAATTCACGCTATATAAAAGTTTAAGACTTTTAAAAAAGACTACAAATATTTTTCATTTCCAATTTTTTTACAAAACTAGTTTCATTGTATCAAAAACTAGATAAACATTTAATTTGTTGCATCATTTAAGAACCTTTTCACAGATAAAATTATAAGTGAGAACCTTTTCTTTTGACACCCTTTATCCTAATCTGGTTTAAACCAGCTTGATCTGGCTGATTTTAGTCAATCTGGATTGAATTTAAAATATTTTGATATTTGAAAATAAGATTTTTCCAAACCCCCATCAAATAAAATCTCTAGAAAAATAGTTAAGGTTCATGACTAATTAAATTCTGACATTACTACTGTGTTACTTTTTTTATTTACCGTTGTCCTTTATAAATTGTTGCATCCATATATCCAACCCCCTCTTGTTGGTATCCATTCATATCATCAGTAAATGGATATCCAGCCTCTTGCCCAGCCTGCAGTACGGGGTTTAGTTTAGTATAATGTATATCCAGCCTGCAGTACGAAGTTTAGTTTAGTATAATGTATATCCAGCCTGCAGTACGGGGTTTAGTTTAGTATAATGTATATCCAGCCTGCAGTACGGAGTTTAGTTTAGTATAATGTATATCCAGCCTGCAGTACGGAGTTTAGTTTAGTATAATGTATATCCAGCCTGCAGTACAGGGTTTAGTTTAGTATAATGTATATCCAGCTTGCAGTACGGGGTTTAGTTTAGTATAATGTATATCCAGCCTGCAGTACGGGGTTTGTATAGTATAATGTATATCCAGACTGCCATGCTAGCTAAGTACGGAGTTTAGTTTAGTATAAATCGGTCCAAGGGTTCCTGAGTTATAATCACACAACAAAACAAACAGACAGACACCCACTACTTTATATTTATAGATGATAAACCTGAAGCCAAGCTTGATGAAGAGGATTACCACTAGTTCCTCTTGAAACATGTAGAGGTCCACCTCCACCTCTATACTCATCTTCTCCATACTCATGACTCTAAAAAAAACATTTAAAATCAAACAAATTTAATTTAACATTTTTAATTTTTTTCGCATAGTTTAAAATGTCATTCGGTGGAAGGAATTTACCAATAACTCTGACAGAAAAAATGTACTGCAGTTTCTGGGAGAAACATGTAATTGCGAATATTGTTGATATTCCTCCCGAGAACATTCTGTATTCATCAAATTTGCTACGTTTGGATGAAAACAAATAAAGACAAAACCTTAAAATAGAATAAAACTAGTTTTTATCAAATATTATTTAATAGAAACCCGAACATCATTGGATTTTGTAATTTGCAAAGTAAAATTAAAAATATGTTACACTGCCTCATGAGGTTAAACACTTTGTTAGGGATGCAACTTGGCTTCAGAGACTGATCTCGTCCTGTGGACAAAATTTAAATTTGGGGCTTAAACTTTGCTTAAACTACTTAGTCTGGAAAAGTTGTTCATACCAGACATACTCACGGTAAACTAGAGGTCTTGGAAAAAAGTCTAGTAAGTCTTAACTTTAGAAACAGTTTTCACCCATTATATGTAAAATATGACTTAAATGTTCCAACACAGACGTTGAAGGTAGTTTGAAGTGTACTCAATGTGTTTAAAATCAAAGTCTATACTTGTGCTTTTTTGAAGTAAGGTAGACAATTTTCATAACTCCACCCCTCTGCACCCTCAGCCTCCCACCTTCAAAATATTCAAAAATCATACATACAGTGATAACCAGAAAATAATGGAATGGGAAGACGACATTATAGTAATACTTTAGTGTATTTGATGCTGTTACAAAGCAAATAGTTTAACTAGGCACTTATAAATTCACATATCTATAAGAGTAATGGGTCTGTTAGCACTATACATTGCTGTCTTTCATGCTCATTGGAACTTTTAAAGTTATAATTTGTTTCTAAAAGTCGTCTTACTATTCTAGAGTTTTCTGTTTTCAATATACTAGGATTCCAGCTTAAATTAGGCAAACAGTGCTTTTATATGGTTTCAAATTATTTTTTAGATCAATATTAAATTTCCGTATTCAAAACACATTAAGATTTTGTAACAATTGTATAGTACAGTGGTAACCAGTAAATAGGAACTTTTTTTACTTGTGTATTTGATGTTGTTACAAAGCATATTGTTTTACTAGACACTAGGTAAGGGAAATGGATCTGTTTACACTCCAGTTACCAGTAGCCAATGGAATATAAATAGAACTTTTCAATATAACTTGTAACTGTCCAAGATGATTCTTGAAATTAATGTTAAATCTCAAAATTAAATACTTGAAATAAGAAATATTAAATTTCATATTAAATTTAAGACTTGTGACTCAGTCAAAACGTGGGATGTATGATGTATCATCTAATTTTTGAACAAAACAAAAATGTAAAAATTTTTACATCAACATAAATCTTGGAAATTTGACCTTTTTGAGCTGAATTTTATAAAATATATATATTATGCACACATTGGTAACATTAAAAACTTTTAAAGTTAACACAAAGTTGGGAAAACATCTGCATTATTAAACTTTAAAGGAAATGTTCTGATATTTTAAGATTTAAATATGAAACTATATGTTGCTTGATTTAAATATGAAACTATACGTTGCTTGATTTAAATATGAAACTATACGTTGCTTGATTTAAATATGAAACTTTACATTGCTCGATTTAAATATGAAACTATAAATTGCTTGATTTAAATATGAAACTATACGTTGCTTGATTTAAATATGAAACTATACATTGCTTGATTTAAATATGAAACTATACGTTGCTTGATTTAAAT